CCATTTCTGTGATGTGACCCTCACTGCTTTCTACTATCTAGTTATTATTTGTATGATTTTATTATTTACAGTACATGTTAATCCCTACTGAGATGTTTATCTGGAGATTGAGCTAAAAATCAAATAAATAAATTCCTACTGGAGGTCATTAAGCTCCAATAATTTTTCAAACATTTACTATTCACCTATCAGGTCAATGTCCACAGCCCGATCATAATAATAGGAAAAGGCATAAAAGGAGCTTCTCTGAATCTCATCTGGTTGATGCAATTTTCCTTGTACAACCTTCAACACTTCAGAATAACATGGTTCAAATCCAGTTTTGCCTGCCAGGGTAAAGACACAAGTATAAGCATGACATGAATCATAAAACTCCAATTCTTCCCTTAAGACTACCACAGTCTTCACATAGTCCCATTTCTATTTTTGTTCCTTTTATGAATATACCCACAATTCAGTTTTAAAAAAACTTTCCTAGAAAGCAATATCCTTTTAAATTACCTTCTTTTTTACCACCATACTGATATTTTATTCCACCAAAATGCCATTCTGCTTCTAGCTGTTTTGGCAGACAAGAACTTCTGAAGGTCTGTCCAGCTGCTGCAAGAGAGAATATGGAAGAGGAATGAATGAATGAATGAATGAATGAATGAATGAATGAATGAATGAATGAATGAATGAATACACGCACACGCGCGCATGCTTTTTAGTTTGGTTTTAATTGCAAGAATATGAATCTGGGGGGAAAAATGAATTTTCCATTCCATTTTCAAGTGGAAGTGAAGATTTTACTCATTTCCCTATGTAGGATGCTTTATTCACTAGGCCAGTGGTTCTTAAACTGGGGGGGGAGGGGGTAATTTGGGCATATCCTGGGGGTAATGGAGCAATTGGTAATTGTGAATCAAGGATCCAGTTTGGGACTGCTGCTGTGTGGAAGAGCAGGCTGCTTGGAATAAATTGCTATGCTGCCTTCCCCCCCCCCCCCCCCCCGCCCGCCTTTGAGCCTTCTCCCCAGTGTCAGCATGGCAGAGTTGCCAATAAAGCAGCAACCCTAACACAGGTATGAGAGGAGACACGTGTTTTGGAGCTCTGCAACCACCAGCAAACTGAGTACAGTAGCCAAATGAAAGAGGGCTTTTTTCCTTCAGAAGGAATGGATGGTCCAAAAGAGAGGAAAAGAAATATAGAGGCCCAGTAAGGCAAAGCACAACATTAAAAAGGTACAAGAGCTCTACATGCTGGCCATTAACAGAAAAAGAAGAAGAAATCTCAGAGAGAGGGGATTTAAGACAGAACAGATTTAAGAAACATTGATGTATGCTAGTAATAGTATAGAGAATAGTATATAGGTAATTTCAATAGGTAATAGAACAATAGGTATGTTGAATACTAATAGTATAGAATATAGTTGTCTTAATAATAGTAATTGTCATAATTGTTATAGTAATAGTATAGAGATAATGATAGAACTAAATATAGGAAGCACTCACATATCATTTTTATATGTTTCTTTTTACAAAATAAACATCTCCCCAACCCTTACAGGGAGATATAAAGAAACCACCTGTCCAGGGGCCAGTGTTTTTGTGTCTCTCTTGAGTCTTGGGTCAATCTAATTGGGCATGGTTTAAAAAAGAACCTGTGACATGCTGCCAAAACGCTTGTGTAAAACAACACAGTCTTGTTTTTGTGTGTGTGGGGGGGTAATGACATTATTCAAGACCAGGAAAAGGGGTAACTGGGTCAAACAGTTCAAGAACCACCACATTAGGCCAGCCTTTTCCAACATGGCAGCCTTCTAAAGCTGACTGGGAATTCTGGGAGTTGCAGTCCTGGCACATTTGGAGACTTCCAAGTTAGGGAAGGCTGTGCAAAACCTGAATAAGTTAGGAGTCTTGGCCTTGACTAGATAGCAAGGAAATGAAAATGATGGATACAGGTTGGGGAAATAATAGTTTCTTTTTAGCCACATTACTGGATTAAACACTGAACAGGTTTAGCAATATGGGGCAGAAGGTAGGAAAGAGGAGAGGACAATAGGTAATGTCCTTATAGGACTCATACCTATAATTGTATTCTATAAGTGCATGTATTCCCTGACCATGTTTCTATCAGTCTCAGATTTCAATCCTGCCACTTCATCCTTCTTTCCATAATTGCCTAGTGGAACACATACCCCCTTACTGGAGAACATTGAACCAAAATAGAAGGTGAGTAGTACTCTCTTCATTAATTCTCACAGATCTGAGCATCCCACCCACCATTGCCATTATCTTGAACTAGTGCCAGTGCTTGACTGCTTGTTTCTGGCTTGTCTTCTCTAATTGCCCCAGATATGCCACTGGAAGCACCTCTCGCTTCCTGCTTGAACAGAAGAAGCCTGCTGACCAAGTACTTCAGCAGGCATTGGACGTCATTCTGCATGATTCTTATTTATGTCACTACTGCTATACTGCAGCATTTGTTTGAGAGCCCACATAGCAAGCATTAGGCAGAGCAATGAGCAAATGGTAACAAGACAGAAAACAGCTGTGTGCATCAGTCAGTCAGTCCTGCACTTTTAATGATAATGCTGCCATTAAGTGCAATGGAAGATGAAGTCCCATTGGCCATGTTGAAGTAAATCTGTAAAACTCCCAGTAGCTACCCAACCCTACCCATTTCTGTGATGTGACCCTGACTGCTTTCTACTATCCCAATTCCACCGGGTCCTTCTTAGTCCAGCATTCTGTTACCTCAAGAAGCCAATCACATGTTTCTAAGCTGTTCACAAACAGGAGACGTACTGCTTTCCCACTCTTGTTCCCCTGGCTGGAGTCCTTAGCCAGCTGGACTGTTTCCAGCAAAATGCAGGAAATGAAGACAACAGCGCTCAGATGAATACAGTGGATATAGTTTAACCTTTTGATAACCAAGAACCACAATTTTTAAAATGTTTTTTAAATTTAAAATATATGTAAGATATAGGGTACATATCAATAGGCTCACTCAAGAAAAGATGGACCAGAACCTGGGGTTTTGCTTTTTTGTTTTTTGCATTTTGGAGGTGAAAGGTTTTTCTTTTAAAAAAGAAAACATGTTCATTAAGCACTGAAAAACGGTGATTTGGTATCAAATGCTGGTAGTATAAATTGGCAGGGGGTGGTCAGTTGGACACAACTCTGGAGTTGTAAGGGTTCCATGCAGGCCATGGATTGCAAGTAGCCCATTCCAACACTATAATGTGTCTTCTTTCTCCTCTTCATTTGAGAGTATTATACTGGAGATAAGTGGTTTTAATATTATTAGCAATTAGTTTCTAATAAGAATAGAGCAAGTATGAGCTATTAGCCAAAAAGTTATTAATTGTCAGGCTGCCACAAGATACTTTCATATCAATAGAAGAGAATGTATATAGTTCAGGGTTGAATTATGGAGTCCTTGGGGTTCTCTGAGCTTGATTGTTTCCTTGCAAATGTTTTGTTACCCGGCTAGGTAACATCTTCATATGACATAGAATAGTTATTTTGACTGACTGTACCTTCCATATTCAAAGCTCCTAATGCTGCTAATCGAGCAGCTTTCAGCCCAAGTCCCAAATAGCTGTAAGAGAGGATAAGGAGCACTTAGTTAACACAAATTAATTAACAACCAAGACAATGTATCAACTTATTTTATACATTTGGACATAAATGATATTATACAAAATAACTTATTTCTTCTTCTTAAGACCCCAGTGACAAAATAGCAGTATATGGCTCTTTTACAATAATGCACAAATTACTGTATATAATATAATGAGAAAGAAGACAATTTATTTGGAATCAAATCATTCTGATAACCAGCAAAGATTTGGACTTAAAAACTGAATCACACAAATTATTTAGGTGAATATTTTAGACACAAAGGCAGTAATACCTCAGAATTAATCATTTGCATATATTTTCTCACTTACCTGTGTGTGTAGAGCTTATAAGTGCTGTTGAACATTTGAAATGAGGTAAGAAAATCCACTGGTGTTTGTGCTAAGGTTTCCTAAAAATTATGAGAATGAAAAGTTCAGGAATTGTTATTTCAGGGGCATTTTTTAGTATATACTGACCAAGCACTACTGGATGAATGATATCTTTCAACATCAGCAAAATTGATTTCAGCAAATTCTTTAGTATTGCAAAATATTCTTACATTCTACGTTTAATAGCCTGAAAAAGTATAGGCAAAGCCCATTATTATTTTTTAAAAAGAGGCTAAACACATACCAGGAAGAATCAAACATGTTATTTGAAGCCTGATTTTGATAATTTTAATAGATTCTTTATTCTCCAGTTTAATTCCCTGACATTTTCTACTGTACAATGAATACAGTTTGCAGATTTGTAGATTCTCCAGCTTCTTGTGCTTGTCAGAAAGTGTCCACCAAGGAATGCTTTAAGCAATATATTATTTTTATCCATTCCCTACAGCCAGTAATAAGCAAAGTTTTGAATTGGTTTGATTTCTTTTTTAAATTTCTAGGCAAAAACATTTTTATTAATCAAGTAAATCACTGATCTACAAGTTCCCAAATTCAAGTTTATCATATCCTTCTGAGATATACTGAAATGAACACCTTGTGGCAAATCTAGCTTTTTTCCCCTTTGTTTATTCTCTCCCTGACAATTTCTTTGTTTATTATTCCAATTTATATAGCTGCCCATCTTATATATATATATGACTCTGGGCTTACAAACAGTTAAAACAGGATGATGTTTCACAGGAGGGTGCCATGGCAGAAAAGGGTCTCCTCTTTGGTCCTGCCCGATGGCACTCCTGGGCTGACGGGGCCTGCAACATGCCCCTCCTACTGGATCTGATATGATGGGTAAATGTGATTGGGAAGAACAATCACCAAAGAATCCTCCCTTCCCCCATAATAACTACAAAAAACAGGTATCCATGGGCAGGTAAAAGAAATGTCAAGATGGCAGCCACAACCCCATGATTGAAGCCCTGACCTTTTTTATAGATGTTGTGTGTACAATTCATGTAAAAGGGGTGAGACTTTGATTACATGGACATGGCCACCATCTTGACCTTTCTGACCCTCTTTGCAGATACCCCCAGCAAAAAAGTTTGTTTAGTGATTATATATCTAATTAGATATGGGAAGCAGGAATATGGCTTTTTAAAAAAATTAATTAGTAAATCCTGAGAGGAAGGACCAGAAGTTTTTAGATCTCTAGATTTTTTTATATCATCATCAATGCAAATTTGAGTGCTACTCACTATTTATGTGCAGTTGTCTAGACTCAAAATAAGAGAATAATGAATATGGCAGAAGAGTATGGATACCCTTTCAGCCAGGACTTTGTAATACTCTTTTGGCAAAAATAACAGCTTCCAAACATTTCCTGTAGCCAACTAAGAGTCCTTCTAATCTTGGTTATGGATTTCTTTTCCACTCTACCTTGCAGAAGTCTTTAGCTAAGAAATATTTCATGTTTGAGATATCCTGAAAGATTTTCAAGATATTTAAGTCTGAGGATTGAAAGGCCAATCCAAATCCAAAGCGTTAATATATTCCTTGATTGTGGCACAATAGTTTTTAAGATATGTTGCTACCTAGTTGATTTCATTCTTCTGTTCACTTGCACAATATTTCATGTGTCACTGTCTGCCACACAACCCCAAAGCATAATAGAGGCACCTCTGTGTTTAGCAGTGGCAGGGTATTCTTTTCTTCAAATGCTTCACCCTTTTTTCTCCAAATGGATCTCCAAATGTGGTTGTGGCCAAATAATTGAAGTTTTGTTTCACTAGTCCAAAGAAGTTGATTGCAGAACTGTTTCAGAGTTATCTTGGTATAGTCTAGACCAGCCTTTCTCAACCTTTTTTGTCCTGGAGGAACCCTTGAAATAATTTTCAGGTCTCAGGGAACTCCTGCATAAAAATTATATTTACAGCTAGCACTGTGCAGCATAAGGAGTTAAAACATTTTTTTTTCAATCACAATAACTTGCGAAACCCCTGGTGACCTCTTGTTGAACCCCAGAGTTCCCCAGAACTGCAGTTAAGAAAGGCTGTTCTAGACAATTACTTCTGTCATGGAGAGAGAGAGTCTGGCAACAGTCACATGTAGATCATATTCATATAAGCTATGCTGTTCTGTAGACAGCTGCTACAGTATTAGCTGAACGTTTCAGCAGGTTGCTTGCAGTGTTCTGCGAGTCTGTTTTGCAGATCCAGCAAAGATTTTTCTTGATCTTCTAGATCTTGCCTTGTCTTCAAGCTCTACGTAGCTTCCATTTCTTAACAATGTTTCTCACAGTTGTAATTGCTAGCTGGCAGCATGTAGAGATTTTCTACAGCCTTCCTTTGCTTTGGAAGAGTGAATTATCTTCATTTCAAATTCTCAGGCAGCTGCCTAAAGGAGCCCATCATTGTTGAAAATAGATATAACCAACAATCGCAACCTGAGAGGTTAGAAAGGAAAAAGCATTCATTGCCAAATCTGGCTAATGGTAGGCCTAACAAGCCAATCACCTTTTGGGGCCTTACTAACAACTTTACAGTAAAAGAAAAAAAAAACACTGATCAACTAGAACATATCCATACTTTTGCATTGCCACAATCACTGTTTTCTTATTTTGAATTCGTAAACAACTGCACATAAAGAGTAAATAAGCATTTAAATATGCAGAAAGATGTTGGGTATAACTTTATATTATGTATAAAGCCGGTTGGGCCAACTTCATTTAAGGATTCTTGGAAACAGGCGATCTGAACAGGGCTACAATGTATCATGTTATTTATTTTGGTTTGGTTTAGCATGTTGTGTTAATCCAGCCGTTGTTTACAAACCATGATGCATGATTGCGTTCATGAACCAAACTAACAGAGGTTTATTCAATAAACCAACAACAGCTTAGTATACTGTGAAGCCATGCAGTTTCCTTTATATGAATTCTGAATGTGATATACAGAGTATTTGGGTAATCTAAAAGTATAGCATTAGAAAGTTATTTGCTCTGTTAAGGAAGATATCAAGGCTGAAAGTGACTATGGACACAATGATAATCCAAAATATGGAACCTGCAACAGATCAGGCTATACTAACTCCTCACCTCCAGCTGTGGCAGGAACGTTATCTGAGTTGAAGCTCCTCCCAGGTCCAGAGTTCCAACTGTCTGCTGGTCCTGGCCATACAACTGTCCTACAGATAACAATGCAGAAATTCAAAGACTATCCAATTGCAGCAAGAGATCCCATGTTCTGGGAGGGTTTCAGCAACAGCCAGATAGAGCAGATATAACAGATGAATATCCTGCTATCAATGGGCTTTCTATTCAATTTTTGTGGATTCTATCTATTCAAACAGAATCATGCGGCAATAAATACCTGTCAAAAAATTCACAGTGATCCAGGCTAAAATACCTGTAAGAGAAAGAAAAAGCTACTAAAAATCCTTCCATCTATAGACTGCAAATACAATCTACAAAGATATTAGTCCACTCTATGCATTTCTGCTGATCAATTATCAGTACTTGTCCATGCAGAATATCATTTCATTCATTGTCTGGCTTCTTAATTATTTTTT